CAGTCACCTTATGCTGTGACACAAGCATATGTGACGCCGCATGCTGTGAGTAGGACAGCAGTGACGCCGCATGTTGTAACTTGGAGAGCAGTGACGCCGCATGCTGTGACTTGGGCAGCAGTGACGCCACATGCTGGGACTAGGACAGCAGTGACGCTGCATGCTGTGACTTGGGCAGCAGTGACGCCGCATGCTATGACCATGTTGTGACTTGGACAGCACTGACGCCGCATGGTGTGACTTGGACAGCAGTGACGCCGCATGCTGTGACTGGGACAGCAGTGACGCCGCATGCTGTGACTAGGACAGCAGTGACGCCGCATGCTGTGACTTGGGCAGCAGTGACGCCGCATGCTATAACCATGTTGTGACTTGGACAGCAGTGACGCCGCATGCTGAGGCACCAGGGCGATGGCGCGCATGCGTTATGCGGGACGAACCTCAGGTTGGAATCGTGGCTCTGACAGTGGCTACGACAGAGGGTGACAACACGCTCGACTTCAGCAGTCCGTCTACAGCTGTGTATGCCGCCGACAGCCACTGAAACTACAGCTTGAGTGAGACAACACTACAACCGGTGCTCAAGATTGCGTTTATCGTCTCTTACAGGTGGGTGCCGATGTACAAAATGTAGTGCAGGACGTTGGCCTTGAATCCCGTTCACCTATCGTCTTTCTCCCTACCGGCAACGGTTTAGGCCTTTCCCTCGCGCATTCCCGTGGTCGCCCTGTCGAAGATTACTGTTGCAAGTCAGGCCGTAGATGTTACACCCGCAGGTAGTAAAGGTTCTACCAACCTTTCCTATTGTCTACGTATGGTTAGGACCCACCCGAAATGAACTTTTCCTCTCTAGAATACCCTTACAATGCTCGTACTTCGTGGAACGCAACTACTCTTCTCGGAACGCAACTACTCTTCTCGGCAAATCGTGCTCCTTACACTCAGGCCCTGAACGTCGCGTTTAGCTGTTGACATCTCCTGTGACGCGGCGTCCTAGTGCCAGCGCGTCGCGACAATATTTCGTGCTGTAACCTGCCTACTATCAAGCAAGGTTGGTAGTCGTGTTATGCGTTGATTCCGTCATCGAGCACGTTTTGCGAGGCTGTAGGTGTTTCAGGTCGCTTTTGTGGTTGGTGTCAAATGTTTACCTACCACTCGTTTTGGTGGTTCAATTCAACACTTCACTGGACTGTACCCCCCCTATTCCCTCTATACCCCCTCGCTGTTTGGATGCGATGCGAGTGTTTTTTATCGGTGGTGCTGATCGGCTGCGCTACTGCACCATTCGAGGCGACAGAATGGTCGCACATAGTATTTTCGTGCAATGGTGGTCATCTCTGGGGGAAGCAGGCCAATCTGAGTGTGGCGAGGTGATGATTGATTTCGCGACTCTGAGAGTGCGACGCCAGGGTTGGTTCTACGAAAAAGGTTTTTGCTCCCTCTCGCTAACCGTGTTTCATGTTCAGGAAACTTGGTATTCAGCCATGTGATACTCGGGCTTTAACAAAACGAACACAAATTTCTGAAGGCTACTACAAATATGCCAGTTCCTGAAGAGCTATCATGATCACAGCATACTATGCATATCTGACTGATTTTTTTACGTCCATAACTTGCAGATTGCAAGCTCATACATACTTCACTCACCATAACCTCCAATATTATATAAATGATGTGTTCTAATTTAATGTTTTAAAAGGAAAAAAAGATAAGGTAGAAATTATTTCTTTTCCTGAAATTTATTCTATTCAATGACTAGATGAATGGCAAAGATGAACTAATGTTGCTGAAAGGGAATCCAGCATTTTTGTTATTACATTTTGCCTGGGTGTACCTTGTCAATAATTGGCAGCCGACTCTCTAACGAGCGTCCGCCGTCCAACCACCACATTCAGCACAAGTCGACAAGTGGCCTGTCAGTATCGCAGCGCCTTTAGGTCTGACGAAACAAGAAGGCACACTATTTGACCACCGGCATTCCCGAAGCACCGCACCGCACCGCGCCACCTTTTGCTCACGCGTTAGCGATTTCCCCCCCTCCCTCGCGAGCCGCGAGCTCTCTCCGTAGTTCTTAACGTGCATTAGTAATCAAGTTCTGAGACTGCTTGAAACTCGGGACGTAGATGTACCAGAACTTGGTGAATTCATCAATTCCCGCTGGTAACACTCGACATGCGCGCGTGCTGCTGGAGCAAAAGAGTCAGTTGAGCTAGTTACTTGACAATCCTTTGAGCAAAAGGCCCACAATATCATCCCGAGGAAGGAACGGTCTCTGCAAAAGGGTTGCCTCCCTTCGATAGTGTCACATGTGATTCGCAGCGCGCGCGGGCGCGAGGCGATGGGGCGAGGCGGGCGCGACGACAAGGCGGAGGATTCGCAGCGCCTGTTAGGAACTCCCGTTTACGTCAACGTCTACGACCTGACTCGATATAACGACGTTCTTTACTGGCTCGGCCTGGGGGTTTTCCACTCGGGCCTCGAAGGTGCGTTGGATTCTCGAAGGGTCTTTCGAACAGGAAATCGGATTCTTGTCCCCTTGTCTCAATCCGTGAGGCCCTTCCAACCCCATGGCTGCAGTCCCATCCCGTCCTCCTTCCCCGGCAGTGCATGTTGGGGAACATACGTAATCAGCCCCAACTTCCATCCCCATTCCCCTTCTCCCGTTCCGCATCTCGCAAATCCCAGCCCTCTGGGCCTCTGTTCCACTCTTCCTTCATATCCCCGTCTCTCACCCCCACCCCCCCCCCTCCCCAGTGCACGGCGCAGAGTAAGCGTTTGGGTCGAATCTAAAGCCTCTCCGTTACCTCCATTCCCCCTGCCATAACTTGTTCTCCCCCTCTCCCTCCCTCCCCCCCTCCCCCCCCCCAGTGCACGGTGTGGAATACGCGTTTGGAGCGCACGACCAGGCGTGCAGCGGCGTGTTTGAGCTGCCCCCCCGCTGCGCCCCAGGGTTCCTCTTCCGCACCGCCATCCCCGTGGGCACCACCACACTCTCCCCTCTTCAGGTGACTGGTGGGGGTGGGTGGTGTGTGGTGCGTGGTGGGTAGTGTGTGGGTTGTGGTGGATGGTGCATGGTGGATGGTGCATGGTGGATGGTGCATGGTGGATGGTGCATGGTGGATGGTTCATGGCACATGGCTTGTTGCCTTTGTCCCCTCTAACATGCACTGCGTGTTGACATGCCACTCATGCAGAGATAATCTAGTAGCGTAGTTCACACCCATGACCCATGCTCCTGCTCTTCTTATTGTGCAATGGTTTCAGAACCGCCACTCATGCTGCAATGTTACAGGTGCTCCTGTGTTTCACACAGAAATGCAACCTCGTTCATCCCTTTGCCATGCCCATCCCCGTTCCCATACCCCTATGCATACCCATACCCATGCCCGATGCTAATGCCCCATCCCATTGCCCCATCCCCATGCCTCATCTTCATGCCCCTTCCCATGCCCATTCCCATCCCGCCCCCTTCCCCATGCCCCATCCCAGGTCCGTTCCCTAGTGCAGCAGCTAGCCTGCAGCTACACGGGAATCAGCTACCAGATCATATCGCGCAACTGTAACCATTTCACCTCCGACCTCTGCCGCTTGCTGGTAGACCAGGAACCCCCCTCCTGGATCAACCGCCTTGCCCGCACTGCCCTGCTCTGCAACTGCATTCTGCCCGATGGGGTTCGCGTGGAGGTTGGGGAGGTGGACGGGGAGGAAGGGGAGGGGGGAGATGGAGGGGGAGGGGGAGGGGGAGGGAGAGGAGGGGAGGAGGGGAGGAGGAGAGGGAGGGAGGGGGAAGGGATGGGGGGAGGGAGGAGTGGGGAGGGGAGAGGAGAGGGTGGGAGACGGAAGGGGCCGGCGATGATGTATGGGGTGAGGGAGGAGGAGCAGAGATGGGAGGGGAAAGGGGAGGGGAGAAGGGAAGGGAGAGGGGAAGGGAGAGGTGGTGGGGAGGAGGGGGGCGAAGGGTGGTGGAAGGAGAGGGAGTGGCGAGGAGAGGACAGGGGAGGATACTTTGAGACAGACTCAGACTCGTTGGAGGATGAGGAGGGAGATGATGGTAGGCCGGCCGGGGAAAGATGATGGGGATAAGGGGGATGGGGATGATTGGGATAAGGATGGATGGTGGGGATGGGGATGGTGGGGATGGGCTTGTATGTTTATACATGCATGAAACCCCCTCTCATGCGCCCCCTCTCATGCGCCCCCTCCCATGCGCCCCCTCCCATGCGCCCCCTCCCATGTGCCCCTCCCATGCGCCGTTCCCCCTTTTCTCCCAACATATGGGTCTTTCTCCCATGCGATGCGCTGTTACATCCCCGCCAGGTTACAACGACCACGCTTCCTTTTCCCCGGCATCATCTCGATCTGCGTCAGTAGAAGGAACCAGCACTTCTCAACCTGCTGCTTCCGGAACTGCAATGACTCGTCATTGCAACGCGATACCCTGCAACGAATGACTCTGAAACCACACCTGCTTGTGATGCTGCGCACGGTGCGGACGGTGCGGACGCGGCGGCTACACGTGCGACTGTGGGAGGGAGAGCCATTGGCTGGTGGTCCACAGTTGTCCCCTCATCGTTCAGCGAACGAACGCACATGTGTGCCACACTGCCACACCATTCCGCAGGCCCGTCGCTTCTGCTGTCATGTCTGCCGTCGCTTGCTGTAGCTTCAACCGTCGCTGTGCCGTGGCTCTTTCACGATGAAGCAGGAAAAAATGTACACTTTAAGGCTTACAAAATGAGTTGCAGTCGATTATTTACAAGCATGTCTTGCACAAATAATAGCTTACCAGGAAAAAACTACGTATACATATATCACACATATATACCTATACACTTTCATTTTACCTAGCATAAAGGGGTAATTTGGCATCAAGGAAACTCACAACATGCAATGGCCTAGATAAAGAAACCCTGCCCTCCTGTAACTGAAAGGTTACCGTAATAGAATGACGTTTCTAAGGACTAACTGAGGGTGGAAGTAATGGTAGTGCTTCAACCTTGTTACACGCACGAGCGGAAGTATAGGTGGTGCTGGAACCTAAGGGGCTCGTTGCCCCATGACGTCCACCCTGCCTCCAAGTCTCGTGCAAACAGCTCCACTGCCCTCACCTCCTCCCTCTGCTCCTCCTCCCCCACCTCCTCCCCCACCTCCTCCCTCTCCTCTATCGCCTCCTCCCTCTCCTCTATCTCCTCTCTCTCTTCACTCTCCTCCTCCCTCTCCTCTCTCTCCTCCCTCTCCTCTCTCTCCTCCTCCCTCTCCTCTCTCTCCTCCATTTCCTCGCTCTCATTTCCACCGTCCCGGAAACCAGGGCTCTTCCTGGCATGCCGCACAGCGTGTGCATGGGCAATAAGTGCAGCAGGAAGCGCGGTTTGGTGTGGTGAAGAGAGGTTTAAAAGGGATGCAGTGACCGCAACTAGCAGGCCTGGGGACGAGGGAGTGGGCCAAAGCGAATGCAACAGGAAGTGGGGCGAGAATAGAGCAATCAGAATAGTGACAAGATGAATGAACGAATAACTAGATGACTGGACCAGAATAGTAAGGAATGTAAACATGAATGGAGAATTAAACATGACATTTAAAAAAAAATCAGGAAAACGAATGGTATCAATGTAAATGCAAGGACCGCTCATGGAATATATATATACATATATATATATGTATATATATATAAATCCAGGACAAACTCGTGAGAGCGAGGGGTGTGGAAGCGAGACATATGTATATATATTTATATAAATCCAGGACAAACTCGTGAGAGCGAGGGGTGTGGAAGCGAGACTATCATGGCGAAACAAAGGTGTCCCATGAAACGTAGGAACACAAACAACAGAGGGCCTTCACGTGCTCCTAATAAAACATCAGGGAAGAATAATCTCAGAGCAACATGTGAGTAGAGTCAGCCGTTACTGACCGCCGCTGGTGATGATGGCGCCTCACCTCTCAGACGAACCTTTCTCGAATGTTCTCCTGGCACACTGAGAAGAACGAGGTTATCTAGTAGCGTCTGCTGCAGCAACTCTGTTTCCGTGGGAGCGGTGACCCCACTCGCATCCATGCCCATGGCCATGCCCAAACCCATGCCATCGCTTACACCCGTGCATGAGCCCATATGCATATCTATGTCCGAATCGACGGGACCCGCACGGCCATTCATAACCCCTTCCACAGCGCCCCCCTGCCGTTCCTTCCCAGCACCTCCCTTCTCTCCTTCTTCACATTCAGTTTGGTTCACTTGACCATTTTCTCTCTCGCTAACCCCCCGACTCCTGCATTGTGATCCGTCCACACATGCATCAACAGCAGAGCGTGGGGAGAACCAAAGCATCCCAGTTCCATCCCTCCTCCTCCCTTCCCCACTATCTCTACCCATACCAGGACTTATGTTACCCGAACTCCCTCTTCCTCTCTCCCGTTCCTTCTCCGCATCTCTCTTACCCTCCCTTTCCCAACCAACCCCCCTTTCCATCCTCACTGCCACATCCCCCATCATCCTCTCTCTCCTATCCCTCCTCACCTCCCATCTCCCCTCTTCTCCACCCCTCCTCCCCTCCCCCGCTCCCCTCCTCCCGTTCCCCTCCCCCAACCTCCCGTCTACCCCCACCACCTTGCCACACTCTTGTTGCTCTAGCCATTCCCTTTGCGGCGCGTTAAGGTGAAGAGCAGCCTTTGAGGTAAACAGCAGCTGTGAATCCGTGGTCTTGGGAGGGATGAGAGCCAGCAGTAGCACTTCGTATGGGCGGTGGTGTGAGCAGGCGAGGGGGGAGACGAGGGAGGGAGGTGAGAGAGTGGCGAGCTGGAGGGAGGGAGATGATGGGGAGTGGGGAGGGAGGGAAGAGGGACGAAAGGGAGAGAAAAGGCGGCTAAGGAAGCACTGGATGCAGAAGGGGGGGCGAGAGAATGGGGTAACGACTGCTACATATGAGGTCAAAACGATGATGGACAATAACATTGGCGGATATTAATATCTGTGTGCGCGTGCACGCACACGCGCGCGCGCACACACACACACACACACAGACCTCACGATCGACCCCTCACCTTCAGCCAATACCACGTTGCCACGTGCCGCGCCCCCCACACGGGCAGCAGTTCTCTTTCCACGAACTGTCTCAGCCTCTCCCTGTTGGTCACCCACAGTGCCATCACTGCGCCACGTTCCCTCGACGCGAGGCAAGGAACAGGGAGGGAGAGGAGGTGCCGACTGGGGAGGGTGGCATACGACTTGGTTCGTGCCACACTTTTGTTCTCCCACGGGGGATCTATGAGGATTAGGTGGTATCCGTTGTGGGGGGTGTGTGTGGGTGGTGCAGATGGGTGGTGATGGGTGGGGATGTTCTCCTGGTGGTGGTTCCGCGGAAGGGGTGATGCAGGTTGAGTGTTGTGGGAGTGAAAGTGTGGTCGTGATTGTGAATGTGGCTGGTGTGAGTTGTGGGATTGCGGCGGTGATGGTGGTGGCGGTGATGGTGGTGGTGGTGGCGGTGATGGTGGTGGGGGTGACACTGATGGTGTTGATGGGGTTGGGGCCGGCAGCAGCAGGGACGGCAGAAGTTGCTGCAGCTCAGAAGCACTAGACTAGTGGATGGGAATGGGCGGGTGGGTGGGAGGAGGGTGGAGGGTGGAGAGAAGAAGGACAGAGGAACCAATGCGTTGGCAGTGCTGCAGCTGGAGTAAGCAGACAAACCAAAAAAAAAAAAACTTAAGGGGTCATAAGAACGCGGAAAATCCAACTGCTTATTCGATATTCATCTCTTGACAATAGCAACTCCGTGCCATGCAATCAGTGAGAAACCTCGCTCCGTACAATGAGGAACCGGGACTGCGGAGGCAAGACGAAGCGAGCATCTTCCCCAGTCTCCTGCAGGCCGAGGTGCAACCGCGCTATGGCATCACGGCACACAGATGGATTCGCCACCAAATGACGGAACAGAGGGGTGGGTGGGGTGGATGGGGCGGATGCGGTAAGTGGAGTGGGTGGGGTGGGCGTGGTGTATGGGGTGGATGAGGGGTGGGAAGATTGGGTGTTGCGGGGGGGGTTGATTGGATTGTTGGGTGTTGGTGCGAGGGAGTTGGGAGGAGTGGTGGGAGGGAGGGAGAGAGTGATTTCACACAGTTTGGATTGCCAACAATCCCCAAGGGCAACCAAGTCTACTGCTGCCGCTGGTGCTGTTGATCTAGTTGTTGCTGCTGCTGCTGGTGCTTCTGCTGTTGCTGTGCTCCCCTTTCTCGCCTCCATCTCACATCCCTCAGACAGCCACACATCTCGTTGCAGGGCGGGCTCTAGAGCTCTTTCAGGGAGGACCCGCTGTGAACAAATAGACGCATCTTGAGGCGGCTTCAAACGCGTACAGAGGGCGGAAAACGCTGCTGAAAGGAGCCCTTCGATGGCCTGAGAGAGAGGGGGGAAATGGGAGGGAGGGGAAAAGGAGATTCTTGAGATATTTCACGAACCTTCGGCACACAGCTTCATCCCTTCTCCCAGACAAGACAAAATGCTCTCAGCACCTTGACAGTTTTCAGCACCTTGACAGTTTTCAGCACCTTGACAGTTTTCAGCACCCGGACAGTTTTCGGCATTCTGACATGACAGTTACATTCAAGCTTGGAGGCCATACACCTTCTACCTACTGTTCCCAACCATGACGACTATACACAAGTGGCTCCTCTCCTCCTGCATCCGCACCTGATGCCGAGCCTCAGCTGCAGCCTCGGTCTCCCCCAACACGCGTTCCTGCCTCGCTTTCTCCTTCTTCTCCTGGACCCTCCGCCGCTTCTTCTCTCTCATCCGTCTCTTCCTCTCCAACTCCTCTTCGCTTACCCCCTCTCCCTTTTTCAAACCCCCTTCTTGTTTCATCCCACCCTCTCCACCTGAAACCCCCCTCTTCCCCAGCAACTCCCTCCCCGTCTCTATCTCACTGGCCAATCTCTCCCCCATCCTCTCTTCAGCCTCTCCTCTCTCCGCAGCTGATCCACTCTCCGCCAATCCCTCCCCAGCTTCCGCTTCTCCCCCTGTATCCCTCATACCCGCGGAACCTCCCCCTATCTGATCCACCCGGCTCTGAGCCAGGAAATCCGTATTCCCCATAAGATTCGTTGTAAAATTTGCCATTAACGCATCGGCAATCACCGGTTCGGTTAAACGGCTTATGGAGTCGGTCTCGCCACGTGGCATCGGAAGCGGTCGCTCGCGCCAATAGTATCTCGCAGCGCATACTTCGTGATCCCGGTAGCTGAGGCTTGCTGCTACTGGTGAGTCCACGAGAACAGCGAGTGGAGAATATTTCAACGGTGATGTGCGAGGATTCAACTCTTCTGAGTGCATTACCGGTTCAACGCTTCTGACGACAGGCAATCCAGCATCACCCATGGCAAGTGACGGCTTATCCTCCAGCACAAGTGACGCTCAGTGACGAGATAGAATTGCAATTTATTCAGAAACCGTGTAGTCCGATAAAGAGCATTTCTCCCAAGTTTGCACATAGCGATCAATCTCAGTAGGTCGAGCTTGCTGTATAAAACAATGTATTCTCCATAGATTGATATGTCTCCACTTATCCTATATCTTCCCCAAAAACAATTCTCTCATTTTATGCATTTAATAATTATAGTAAATCTCTGAAACTACTACTCATCAGGAAATACTCAAATTATGGAGAAGCAAAATATTAATAAAAAATACTCAAAATTTATCAATATTGCAGTAAAATTCACACCTGATATTAATTCTATGCATAACAGTAAATCCAAATGCACATCTAATCGGAAATGCTCTATTTTACCTTACCTCTGCTACAAACCCACATCTGTAATGCTGTGCATCGTCCTGAATGTGTTGCAACCGAGTACAATCGCTCGAGTCCCTGCATGCAGTTTTCGGCGCCGCTTTCTGGAGAAGTCAGACAACCCAAATTTCGGTGGTGGTGTCAGTGGCGGCGACAGTCTCTAGGAATGAAACTTCCCAGCTCAGTCTCAGACCACAATCTCGAGCTCTTCATGGATCTTCCTCTTCCATCTTCCCGAGCTACTCCTAAGCAAGAGGAGGAACAATACGAGAGGGGATCCTTGAGCTTTCGGGTCCTGGAGGGAACGAAGCTAAACGCTTCTGATGTTGAGGTTACCATGTCTGACCAAGCCGTACAATGGTTATGCAGGCAGCTTGAGGAAGAAAGGGCGGAAAAGCAACGCCTTCTAGATCAACTCCACCGTGAAAGGCTAGAATGTAGACGATATCAGGAACAGCTCGCCAAGGTTTCAGCAGAGAGGGACATGGCGATGGTAAGGTGGAGTGTCTAGTTGACAAATCGTCATTCTATTCGTTTCGTCTCGGTTCTGATGTATTCTTGTCGTATTGTCTTGACGCAGAGGATATGTGGCGTCATTTCACGTGGAAAATCGGCATCTCCTACTGACAGACCGTCGTCGCCAATAATGTCCCCTTCTTCTCGCTCCACGTTTTCTAGCTTACCCAGAGCATACACGGCAACTTCAGCATCGCTAGACCCGCGTACCTCACCTGCCTGGACGAGGGAGAAGCATGGAGAACCTGATAATCATTATTCGCTGCAGTCTCCATACATCTATAAGCCAACAAATTCGAAGCCCTACTACACCAACCATCTTCCGCGAGTCAACGAAGTCGAGAGTGTCACAATGGGCAACGCGACCCGATTTCAACCTTCTGTGAAGAACCGTTCCAACTTCAGTGAGGAGAGAAACATGAGCTCAGAGTTCCATTCTTCGTATCCAGCCAGGATGACAGCTTCATCTGCTTACATGGATCGTGGCACAAGGATGCATAACTGGGAGAAGGAGTCAAGGAGCGAACAAGATATGCAACCATTGAATCTGATTAGGTCCTTCAGCACCAGCGTCTACGACCAGGTATCCACCAAGGTGGAATCGACACATCATGGGTTAGCGTCTCAGAATCTAGCTCAGAAGTTTTCTCCGTGCTTCTCGCCTATATCAGGCGACAGCATTGACATGATGAGCTCTGCAGGCGTAACCACGGGCACTGGAAGCTGGGTGGATGGTCACCATGAAGCGGCTGCACTAGAAAGTTATCGGGAGAAGGCATCAACTGCAAGTAATGATTTGCTTCGTTCCGAGTCTTCAACTAGGCGGTCATCATCCTCAGGGAAAGTCCTGGAAAAGGCTTCAGCCCGTTCATCAGGCAATGACAAGGGCAGCGGGGTATCAGGTGGAAACGATGCCCGAAAAGGCAGCGAGTGCAAGCAGCCAGCATCATCTTTCCAAAGCCTGAGCAGGGTGGTCGTTGCTGAGCTGTCCGTGTACAGGAATGTGCCCCCTGAAGACATTGTGAAGCTTTGGTCAGCCGTGCTCACTCTTATTGGTAACAATGCAATTTCCTATATTTCATGCGCCTTGTTGCAATTCCTCTTGATGTAATAACAAACCGCTCTTTGTGTTATTTTACAGGATTCCGAGATGCTTCATATGACTCAAACATGAAGACGAAGGCTGTGTGGAGGGACATCCAGAAGCGGCTCATCACTGCATCCACGAATCAGCAGCACAAGATATCAAGCATCTACTACTGTTTGAAGGAGGCAGAAGAGAAGATCAAACGCCAGCCTCCAGATGCTACCACTGTGAGAGTTGTCAGGGCCACCCTTCCTGAAATTGAGAGAGTCACATCCTGCAGCAAGCCAGCCAAAGCTTTGCATGCGTGGGTCATTTCTGCCCTTGAGCCATCTCCCAAGAAAACACGTCTGACAGGGGTCACAGGTGGAGGAATTCGATTAACTGGGGACGGGTGGAGGAGGGGATCAGTTTCCATTTGATGGAAACCAAGCCCAATAAAGCTATAGAAGTGCTAGCTGTATATTTTTTGGTGTAGCAATTGATTAGTTATGGCAATTACATGGGACGGCCTTAGGTACATCTTAGGCTACAGGGTGAACAGTGTTCCTCTCAAGGGCTGTATATCATGATACCTACTTTACGAAAGTGCATGCTCCATTTTCCACGCAGAATGCAAGGGACGCCAGCCTTACTCTTTGCCAGATATTAGATATTCCAAAACGCATGGCACCAACGCAGAAATGGGCATCTTTATTGCTTCTGTCTGTTCTTACTTCCGAAGCAACGACGGCTCTCTCTGCCATACAGCTGCAGTGACATCCACCCATGAATCAGGCACCCCTGGTAAGCACCAATGCCTGCAGTCTGGTTGCGATTGTGTGGTCGTTCTAGGCTTCCCCACAGCTGTTCCATTCGAAGCTCCGGGCATTGTTGTGATGCTGCTCTTAGTATCATCAGCTTCCCCATCAGCAAGCGTCCCTCCACCTCCTAACACCCCCCATACTCCCGTGTGCCCGTCTGGTCGTGCTGTAGAGATGGCAGTGACGTCTATAAAGCGGACGGGATTGGGGGACGAGAATGCTGCTCTTTGGGCAGATACGTAGTCGAGTGTGGTGGTTGAGTTGCCAAGGATAGTGGCAGCTGCAGTGGGGGTTAACGGACGGTCCGACCCACATACTCCTGGCTTTGATGCGTAAGACTGATCCCACTTATGAGAGGGTGACAATGATATGAAGTATGGCAGAAGCCTTGAACTGCGCAGGGAAAACAAATGGAAGAAAGTAGTTTAAAATGCTGGCCAAGGCCATTAGCAAAAAAACGTCACCAGCAGGACATCTATCGGGTAGACAGGTAGCTTCGCTCACCTAAATTGTCCGAGGTACTTCCTAAGAACGTTGAGCGAATATTTATGCGCGTTTAGGTCCTTGAGGTACACCTGCTGCCCCTTGATCCTATACACGTTTGACTGTGCCCTCCCAGGCACATTCGCCTGCCACCACGTGCCACTTGTCAGCACGACAACATCCACGTTAGCAACACCTCCCATTAGCGCAGGGTCGATGACATCCAGATCAACGTTGTAACCATGTTTGCCTCGCCCGCTTGCGGTTTTCGTGGAATTCGTGACTGCCTGCATAAGGTACGCTGAGAAGCGGTACACTATTGTGGTGTTTGATGTCGGAATATAGAACCCCACGTAACGATAACCACCGTAACGCTTTTGGACCAGCTGCAACAGGGACAGAAAGAGAATGGACGCAGTAAAGTAGGGAAATAAGTATCGAGTACGAGGCAATAGAAACCTCGAATCATGATTGAACCAGGTACCACAGTGCAGATAGAGAAAGTAACAAGCTCGCCCAAATCCCTCCTAGTGTGGTCCTACTCGTTCTCCGTTCCCCTGGTCTCACTCACCTTGAGATTGACGCCACTAGCGTACAGCAAGCACACGAAGCTCTCCCACATGTTGCTCATAAGCGAGTCCCCGACAAATCCCACCGTCTTTCCCCGCATCATGGCCAGAAACGCCTTGGCGCTGAACCGCGGCAGACTGCACTTGTCCGGCACCCACCGCTGCTTCTCGTACAGCTGGTCCTTGCGGCCGTTGCCGCGGCAGTTGAATATGGAGCGTACGTACGGGCAGGTGACGTAACGCGGGTAGCTCTTCGAGTACCGCCATTCGCCTACTGACATGTCGCACTTGGTGGGTGTGGGAGGGGCGAGAGCTGCTGCCGCTACGTGCGCGGTGTGAGCGCCGAGGAGGAGGAAGGCGCAGAGGGTTAGGCGCAGAAGTAACGCACGATGCGACGATGATAAGCGTGCGGGTGTGATTGCTCCAATGGTTGCGAATTTCCGCGGGGACGACCATTGGTGACACCATACCATCCGTCGCACGTCGCACACGTCGCACACGTCGCACACGTCGCGCACGTCGCGCATGCCTTGTTGCAGCATCGTCATGTCTATAGCGAGCCTCGACCCTACTCTTCAGAGCATCAACCGGCACCTCCGGTTCCTCTGATCCTCGCACGCTTGGCGATTCTTCTTTACTGCAAATTGATGCTCAGGGATGTCCTAAGGAGATCGCGGCAGCCCACAGGACTTTCTTACGTTGGCTCACGAAAAGGCGGTGGGGAAACGGGTCGGTGCCAAGAAACCGGAAAGTGGTTCTATTATATTCACTTTGCCGAGAACGTGAACGTGGAGGTTAAGCGAGAGAGCGCGAGAAGTGCAAGAAGATCAACCTAACGCGAAACCACAATAGCACGCCCTTTGACTGCACTCTCAAAGGTTCATGAATACTAGCATGTGCAGTCGCTGACTGTCGAAGTGGCCGAAGAACTAAGTACTTCAAGAGGGCGGTCCCGGGGGGAGGGGGGAGAAGAAGTATTCTTCTTCGCGGTTCGGGTAAGGGAGGCGCCGCCGACGCAAGGCAGGATCGTAAGGGGCGGTGGCTGTGACTAGAAATAAGGAGTCACTCGGTCGTACTTGAAAAGGACTAAACCTAGAGGACAGTGAAGTACAGGACTAATTCTGGAAGAAACAGTTTGAGGAAATAGAGGAGGATGAAGGAAGACGAGAGAGGAAAGTAGATGCATGGGACGGCGCATGCGACGATGGTGATAAGCGTTCCTCGATTGCATATCACGTGAATTGATGCGCCATCACCACCGTCCGTGTTACCGACGGGCTTTGGCCTTCGCGCTGGCGCTACCAGGCTGAAATGTCGGCAGCGCTCTCGTACTGACGGAAAACGTCCAGGTGCGTGTGCGTCGTTGTCACATCAGCCTCACTGTTGATTCTATCTAGGGATGCCTGGGGCAACCTTCGTTTGAAACCTATTGTTGATTGTTGCACGAAATCGCTCGCGGTGACTCACGCGGCACGGTTGAGTAACGGCGCGCAGGCCGCGAGTCGAGGGTTGATTGTGGGCCTCACAAAGAGCCAAGGGCTGCCCCGCTTTACATACGAAATATTACGTACAAAATAGGGAGCGCTGGGACTAGCGCATCAGCAAGGCCCGATAAAAGGGAAATGTGTTCTGTGCTGCTTGACGAGCGGCCATCCAACATCACATTTTCCGTGCCTCCACCAACTTCTTGTTGGCACTTGCAGCTCCACGATGCTTGATTGACGAAGGCCTCATATCGTCTATCCCTTCTGACAGCTGTTTTTTCGAGTCGGCTCAGCCTCCCCTTCTCCGTGTGGAAGCAAGAAAGTGAAATGTGAAATCTGAAATGTGCGCGAGAGAAATCGAGCCGCATTGCACCTCACTTCAGCATTTGACGAGGGCATTGACCATGTTGGGGATGGGGGAGGAGGTGTGGGCTGAGCTGTGGGGGGAAGGTGTGGGCTAAGCATCATAGTGACGACAAAGCGTCAAATTGGCGCGCAAAACTTTGAGTTTTTCTCCGCCAAGCCAATTTCCTCATCCCTCCCGCTTCCCGCCACCAAATTCGCCCATGGCGCGTCGTTTCAATGATCAGAGGAAAGAAACACGCGTTTGCGTGAGCGGACATTGTATGGAAAATTGTTACGGGTGCAATGAATCTGTAATGAATATGAATTCATTACTGTAGAGGCTGTTCCTAGCGAGGACAACCCCGAGCACTTCGCGTCAGTTTCGAGGTTCGGCCTACATTTCGGACCGAAACACCGACGAGTCACTCCGCACCAATCGCGACACTTCCAACCCATCCACGTCCCGAGGTCCTCGCCTAGCACGGTTTCGACCCTATAAATGCTTGCTTCTTTATCATTCTCGAGATGCTGGATTCGACATCCTTTTTATAAAGTCTTCCGCGCACTCTGTCTAGTAAAACTCATAACACTTGGTATCAGAGCTACTTTCCTAGCTTCCCCGTTTTTTAGAGTGTAATATCCCTCGGGGGGGGGGACAGGGAAGGATGCCGTGGTGACAGGAGCAGCGCAAGAGCCGGCCAGGAGAACGGGTAGTTGCTCCTAGCGGCCATGAATTTCAAGGCGCTCCTGCGGCACCGACGGATCCTTGCCCTCGACGGTCGAGATGGACCGTGGCCTCCCTCCCCCCGGGTGGTGGACAGCTTTTGCTGTCGTCGCAATTAATGCGTGAGTAATAGTAGCCGTTTTCGACAATTTCGGAGTTAATGCTGTGTAGCGGCTGACGTCGGCAGGCTCATCGTCGGCGCACGTCCGAAGTTGTCGGAAGCAAGATCGTCGTGCGAGTTGCGTCGACACGTGGTCGACAGCTGCGCGCGACAATTACGGAGCTAGCTGAGTGCGGCAAGTGGCGATGGGCCTCTTCGTTACGTTGCGCACGAGCTAGTGGAAGTCTTCGGCAAGTGGCGCGTCGTCACTGTGCGCGAAGATTTCGGGTAGCAGCACGTGGAAAACGACTGCTGGTCGAGCAGCCAGGCGCAATGTGTGATTTGCGTCGGAAAAACCGACGGCGAGGAGAGGCGGCGTGGCGACTCCCCGAAGAAAGCGGGGGTCTACCGTCGTCCCGCCCGGGTGCAGCAGGTGTTGCTGCAGGAGGGTGCGTCGTGGGCGTTTTTCGGTAGAGCGGCACAGTGTGGGACGGAAGTTGTTCTTCAAACCACCGAAAAGTTCGGAAAAGGCCGCCTACGACCACACTGTTCCGGCTTGGGTGACTACTGTTTCTGGCACAATGTTTATCGGCGAAAATTTCGGAGCAACAGTGGCAGCCGATTCTGCACTTCACGCGGCACAGTTCCCTCCGGCCAGAGGTACCTGTGTTTGCAGACAGCCCAGTACACCACGGAACAACGATTCGGCGCATCGTTTAGACCCGCGAATTTTCGGGGGTTCTACCGGCTACAATAAACGGAGTTGCGACTAATACGGGTCCGGCGAGAGAAACGGGTTCCGACTTCAGGAGGCGAGAAAAACGACCTACAGCGACGACTTTTGCTGAGGCCGAGTCTCACGGCTAAGCGGCGGTAGCAGAAGGAGCTCCCTACCGGCCAAGTCTACCGACGTTTCACATACCTCACACCAGAAAAAGCCTCGAAGGCAATTCGTAAGTCCTGTTGGCTACTGGATAAAAAGGTGGGGCCCTGTGTTTTTAGCCCTGTGCTGGTTAGAAAGGCGTGGGTGGCGCTTGTTCGACGGCAGGGCGTATAAGAAAACAGTTTGTGGTGCGACACTGTTCGGCCCCGACAAAAACGGACCATCGGCGACAGTTACCCTGCCGAAAAAGTCGGGACTGAGGAAATTGTGGTAGCTGTCGGTGTTTCTCCTGATTCAACGGTCTACCCAACGGCGGTGTAGCAGCGAATGGAGTTCCCGAAGCTGTGGAGTCTTTTCAGTGCGATAGGCACAATGGGCAGCGAAGCGGCCGGGCGGGCGTTTGATACGATAAACTCACCCCGGCTACGATTGTGTTCGCGCCTTCATCGAACGCCAGAAAAATCGCGGGCCAACACGAAGAATGTCTCATCCGACAAAAGCGGGACGCTGGGTGAACGGCGTCATGCGAAATTGTCGGGGGGCGAAAGCAAAACAAAAAAGGAGGGAAAGTTGTGGGTGTCGTTTCAAGCTACTTGAGTGATAGGCGGAGCCCGTATACCACTCCACCGCGAATTTCGGAGTCTATTCGGTAGACCCCCGAAAGGGTTTGATATCGTTACATGGAGGCGCGGCGAGGGGTGTATGTGAAACAGTGAGAAGAGGAATGAATTGACTAAGTCAAGAATGAGTACAAATAGGAAACCTAATTGTGTTGTAGCCCTTATGGGATACCCCACTGTAGCCTACACAAACAGGTAAGCTATATGTTCTGACACACCCCCATAGGCAAAGTGGGGGAGAACAAGAGGTCACAAGACCAGTCAAGCAAAGCAAAGCAAGCTCGGGGTGGATCACAAAGTCACCACACAGTCCGAGCACAAGAGCAAGGCCAAAGGCCAGTTCACATGCAAGAGTACAGACATATATATAAAGCAAGACAAGCAAGAGCAGGTATATATATGTCACAGTACAAGTAAAGTCAAGAAGAGAGCAAGTGAGGCAAGACAGGCACAAGACCCAGCTGGGTACAAAAGCGCTGATGGTCACAAGGCGCCAGTGCCTTGGTGAACACATCAGCAGTGTTGGCCTCAGAGGCCACGTACGCAAGTCGCAACTGACCACGCTGCTGCAGCTCACGAGCAAGGAAGTAGCGGAGAGCAATGTGCTTCGTTCTGTGCTCCAAGCGCTGCTCTCGACACAAGGCCAGCATGGCCTTGTTGTCTACGTACAGCACTGGAGGAGAACGAGGCGGCTCTCCAAGGTCAGTCAGCAGGTAGGTGAGCCAGCGAAGCTCCTGTGCAGCCATGGCCCCGGCGTAGATCTCAGCCTCACAACTGGAGCCGAGAACCGAAGACGAGCGAGTAGACCGCCACGAGACAGAGCCGGAACCAAGGCTGAAGGTGTAACCCTGTGACGACCGCTGCGTAGCCTGGTCGTCAGCCCAAGAAGCGTCCGCGTGGCCTGTAAGGACCACTGGACTGCGCCCTCCAAGCACTAGCCCCATGCCTGACGTACTGCACAGGTAGCGCAATACCCTCTTCGCTGCAGCCATGTGCTCTGGTCGGTGTCTCCCAGGAGCAACATAGCGTGCAAGGATGCTCAGAGGGTATGCGAGGTCGGGTCGTGTGCAGGTCATCAGGTACATGAGGCAGCCAACAAGCTCTGCATACGGACCACTCGACTCT